GACGCATCGCTGGTTATCCTAGCGCAAAAGTAAGAGATCACAGCGCCCAAGACATTGCAGGCGTTTTGGATTACTGCCAAAGACCACCAAATGACTAGGAACGAGGCGTGTGTGGTCGTGACCCGCTGACTCGTGCCCTTTCTCCACCTTTGTATATTTCGATCTACCGTGAGGTCGAGGGACTGGTAATCATTACCCCACGGTTAAAGGCACCTGTTAGTCAGCAATTGATGTGTTATCGTTTAAAAAATTAGGCAGGAAGCGGAATGAGGAACATGAGTGGGTAGAAAAAGCAAAAGGCAGCCAAATTTCTCTTGGTCGGGTGGCCGTGACATGACGGAGAGATAAAACGCTGCGAGAAGAGGGAAAAGACGAGAGACTCGTACATGGGAGGCGCAAAACCATGATGCCACGATTGTCAGAATGGCAGCGCCTGCAGCGTACAAGGCGAGCCTTAACGCCCTTGCCACGCACTCTTGAGTCGGGACAGTGGCACAACTCCTGCGCTTGGGGATCCCTTTTCCTCAGCATAGGAGGGACTGGCTCTTAGGACCTAATCTGGTGGCTTTAAGCCAGGTATACGGTGGTACTTAGCGCTCCCAACGGTAGGTAGAGCTATTCAGGCTGCTACCATTCAATACCGATGGGTGGTTTACTAGTTTACCTAAATTGCCTTATTTATTTATAGGCGTTTAAGCGACAAGTCTCATCTACTTTTTGACCATTTCAGGCTCTGGCGAAGGCGGAGACGCTGAGACTTCGGCCTAATAAAGGCTTTACCAATCTTGAAAAGGCTTCGAGAGACATAAGGAAGGTAATTCTGGAATATTTAACCCACCTCTCGCTCGCCGGTGGTGGAGAACCTGGCAAAGAGACCGACGACTGAGATCGCGCACATCACATAGCTGGGAAACGTCAGGGTGACCATGTAGAACAGAGGACGGCGCTTCACCTGACACATCGTAGCGTAGTTCCGAAACCTGAAGGTACCCTGTAAGGAAGACGGGCATATGAGCTCAATTGGTCCGAAGCTCTCACATTAATGCCTTCGTGCTCATATTCGTCCTCGATTACCGTGACCTTCAACAGACGCCATTCCTCATTATCCGTGTAGTGCTGCAGTGAGTGCTCAGTGTGAGCTCGCAGACGAATTTTGTCCTTACCGTATGTCCAGCTGGCTATCTGAAATCGCAGCCAATAAAGATATTTATGTCGAGGCCGAATTAGTCGAGTGGCAATATGCATCTGTTCTAAACAGTCGGGAGCGATTGTTGCAACTTCAGTGTAGGGTATGAATTCAAAGATAGTCGCAGACATTGTTATGCGCTCTATATTCCACGCGCGCCTTACGAGATGTTCTCCTGGGGTTAAAGGCACAGTCCGGGACTGGACCAATGTATTATTGCGCTTGCAAGTGGCATCGGAGATGTGAAGCGCAACACAAGTAATGAAAAAGAACGGGAAGAAAACGTGGTAATGACGATAAATCCCGGTCTCTGGAAGCGGCGAAGCGAAAGATATGTTAGCTGGTTTCGTGGCGTGGTCAACGGTGTTAGGCGTGGCCAATAACGCATCGTAGGGCCGCATCGTCTCCACCCTGTCAAAACATCCCGAAAGTTGTGCACACGAACCTTGCTTGCGTATCACTGCATTATCTTGGGAAAAGGCGCAAGTTCAACAGTCTCGGACTCTGCCTCGTGGAAATTGGGCATGAATGATGATGGTGGTTGGTAGGTTGAAATGGGGTACCCCCCAGGAGGCCCGTCGCGCGGCAAGAAGGCAAAGTCAGCGGACGAGTCGCGCGCGTACTATAGGGATTTCGCGTCAAGTTAAATAGAGTGTCCCATTGCACGTCCTACATCGCACATCACGCGCTGCAACTCGTCCGCCGACTCTGCCTTCTTGCCGCGCGACGGGCCTCCTGGGGGTACCCGGAAGTAAATGTGCTTTCTCTCAACCATATGGATATTCTCGCTTATGGGGTGGAAGATTAATATAAAACATAACGTGTAAGGAGGGAAAGATGGCTTCTCAGATAGTTTTGACAAAGACCGCAGCATACCAAAGGATCAAATTGTATTATCGCCGAATCAAGGCAAGCGATCAGAACCTCTGCTAGACTCCCTTGACTTTGGCCTGTGCCTCAAAATTTATTGGTGGAGCACGACTTCCAGCAACCAAAAATACCCTTTGTGCTTTAGATTATGAATGGAAAGTACTTAATACTCGGTAGCATTCGTTCTGATTAGAATGTGACAGGAAACTCACCTCCAGCGCACATCGTTGATCATCCAGCGGGAAACGCTTGATGTTGATCTCGCAAGTGACTGTGTAGACAGCTGGATGACTCGCTTCCACAGTCCCGTTAGGGTAGATGAGAGCTGGAGCCCGGACTGACGAGAGGAGATCTTCGTGATGCAACCTGGAAGCACGTACCCTTAATTTAGGGCTCCTCCGCCCGTCCTGATCATAGCTTTGTTGAAACCACGCAACAATTTGTTAAGCAAACTGGGAATGTTGTGGCTGGCCGCACGACTTCACTTCCAACATGAAGTCTAGCGATATGCTTGTAACAGATAAAAAGTGAGTTTCCTAGCAACAACCCCCATGAGGTCGTGTCGAAGGATCCATTTTGTGGGTAGGAAAGAGTAGTCTGCGAGTATCACAGCTGTGCCGTTGTCATGGCTCGAAAATGCATTACAATGGCGCTAGGGCCTTACAAAGTGAGCCAATGGCGGCTAATGTGAGCTAATGGACGAGATACCTCGCGCACACCCATGACACGCAACGTGGATTACGACGTAGCGGCTAATTCAAATACGCGCGGGTTAGTGGAGCCATGGAACAAGCAAGTCCAGACAACTCGTCCGGACAATCCACTCCTTCATTCCCAAGGGGAAGAGAGGTGGTCCCCTTTCAAAGGCTTCATCGGTGGCTTGCATCGACCGTTGTTACCCCACCAATTTGATATGGGCTTGTTTCTTTAACATTTTCTCCTCTGTAAGGTTCGTCCTGGAGGTGACCCTATAACCTGTATGTGTAATTCGAAAAACACCACGTTTCGTGCATTTCTCTCCGATAGCGGTCATTCTGCAAAATGAGTAAACACTACCACAAATGAAGCCGCTAGCACAGCCTTTTCTTTGCAAGGCTTTTCTTAACCTACCGTACACTTCCAAAATCTGAAAGATAGTAAGTAATGGTACTCACATATTAAAAATGATGATATCGGGAACCCAAATGGCCGAAATCGGTAACCAGGTCTTCGCGATTCCGCCATACAACGCTGGATCCCACGACAACGACGGATCCGTCCATTTCTGTAATTAGTCACATTAAAAATCCTCTTTGTGTGATTTTTCACAGGACACGTTCTTAATAAAGCACTATTCGCCTAAGAAGAAGAAGAACTCGAGAGCACGGACGCTATCGCAATATACGGGGGCACCATTAAAGCTAGGCGAGGAGGGGGCAGGAACTCTGGGGAAAATGGGAATGGCTTACGCTACCTGGAGTCTCACCTCCAACTCTAGGGAAAATGGAAATGCTTAAGCACCCTGGTCTCACCTTCCCTGCCTGAGGCTGAGTCCATTTTCTAACCAAAAGGAGAAGTTCAACAGGTTCCAAATGCATTGTCACCACAATGCCCCCGTATCCTGCGATAGCGCCGAGAGCACTTTAGCCTCTCAGAAATCATGAACGCCTCGGATACTATAGTAATATCGCCTTGTCACTAATTCTAGAACACCTATTACTCACAAATGCCCAGTGGTCATTAATCAAGACACAAACCTCGTCGACATAGACGAGCACGGTCATCGTCTGTTTCAGCTCGGTCTTGCCAGAATATGAACCACTCCAATCTCGCTAGTGCACGATCCAGCAAAAAAAAAAAAAGCCATCTGGCGGCGCATTGACATTGTGCCTCGACAGGAGATGCTCAGTGAGCTTCTTCGACGACCCTGAGAGAAATCGCGCTGGAAGTCGGTTCGTAAAAGTCTATTTTTCGAGGGAAAGGACGCTTCAGTGAAAAAAAAATATCAGCAGCCTACAGCTACCAATTTCGGGCTGCAGTTTGCTATTGATTTATTGTTACAGATTTCGTCTTCACAACCCTTCTGGAACGAGGAGTTCGTCCCTAAACACGACAGCAAGGTACCACATGAAGCAAGCCAGTGCTGACTTTTTTGAACTAATTCCTAACCACAGACTACCTATTCATGCTTAATTGCCGCTTTGCAATTCTGCTAAAAAGGCGCAGCTTAACTGCTTAGGCCGTCCTCTAACCAAATGGCTCGCTTTTGACGGTGAGCTCATTCACTGAACTCGAGCTACACCACGAAAGTGTCAATAGCCAAGGCCTGAGCAGTTCTGCTCACAGAGCGACTGCAGCCTTCATCAGAAGGTCGCCTGCTACCTGGACCCTAATGACGGCGATTGTTCTTCTATGGTTTTTGGGACAAGCGACAGCGCATCGCGGTGTAATGCAATTCATGCAATCGTGTAATTGCTCTTCCTTCGCTGACACACTGCCCAGATTTCGAGAATTAGACAGAATAGCGCAGAATTTTTTGGGTTGTGAATGACGCTGGATTTCACAGGAGGATTAATGGCATAAAATTGATGTGGTTCTTGCACGCACGAATGCGACTGTATTGGTACGAAATGGGCCGGCAGTAAAGAAGAAAGGGAAAAAACTCGTCGAAATCCTTTAGGTTAAGGATTTACTCATTTTTGTAATCGGTCGTATAGGGACAATGGAGAGATCTAAGTGCAAGAAGGAGTTACTGAGCGCGAAAGAGTGCAAAAGATGAGAGGGCGCCAGACAACATCTTCATACAAAGAAAAAAGAATTCGCATCTGCTGCAGCTTATTTTGCAAGGCTCTAGCGCTCTTTTCGGATGATTTCCGTGCAAGGCAATGCCGTAAATGTATTTTCTCTAGGGGTCCATCCTATAGATCGGAGGGTCGCTCGCACGACTTCTGCCTGGGTTCTGCCTTTAAGATCGCGAACGGACTCAACACTCATATCCTACAATGTTCTCCATATATTCGAGGACGCCAACCAGTTGGTTAGTGAAGAAGATAAAGGATAAAGGATAAAGCATTTGCCGTTGATCAATCCCTTTTTGGGATGCGGCACGCATTCTACTTCCATTTGTACATTCGTAGTGGCGTTTGAATGCGATGTGGCCTATACAATGACTTGCGGGGGCCAGCCGATGTACAAGTCAGTGTTTTTATCCTCCCAGACAAGTCTGGTACCAATTAACCGACCCCGGAGGGATGGAAGGCTTGGTTGGCCCGGGCGACTCACGACCCAGGATTTGATCCCGGACCGCTCGCGTGGTAAGCGCGCCACTTGTCACTACACCACTTCCGCCCCAGATACCATACGATTTTGAATCCACTGCATTTGAAGGTCTCCTTGTCTCCCCTCCGAAGCCATGGAGCGCGAGCTGGACGAATAAGTCGCGCTCATGGTTTCTGCACCCAGGAGCCGACTTATTCGAGTTAGAGTTAATATTGATTTGACCACTTCACTACAGTTGATCGAACAAATCGGTCACAACACGGTGGGGAAGGGGTGTAGCTCGGGATTATTATCATGTCAAAAATTCATCTTTCAGGCGTGCTATGATAAGCAGGAAGTATCCGTTATATGAAATATCCCTGCACGTTGCTACGTCCATTATTTCGTCGAATTGGGAAGCGTTGGCGATGCTGGGCAATCATCATCGTTTTAGCATCACCACGCATGACAACCCTCTCCCCCGTCCCCCCCCCACCTCCCCCACCCCTCTACTTGCGTGGGAACTGAATCGTCCAATAGAGCTTCCGCTTGTAAGGACGCTACGAAAATTCCTATGGTCGAACGGTATTAATTATTTCCATTGATATGTGCTACTTCTAGGGCAACCTGGAGAACGTGGTTCTTTCTCTCGATTGAGGGTGCCCGGCGGGGCGAATGGAGTAGGGATATTATTCTTTGGATCGAAGCTTCAGATTTGACGATTTCTTCCCGTGAGACTGCTGGGTGTCTCAGAGACAGGGCCGAAGGTAAAGGTTGGGGGGGAAGTCGGAAGAAGAGAAAAAAACACCTAGAAGAAATGGCAGGCGGGACCGTTCAAAGCTGTGGGACGATACGCGTTTCGCGAAGTATTTGCCATCGCGACCTAGCCTATATATAAGCGCCGCGGCACGCCCAACCTCTCGCTGTCTGACTCTAGCCCTTTGGCAAAGTGAGCGTTAGCGTTGCAGATTGCAGCACCTACGAGAGTCACCGAAACCAGGGGGCAATGAAGTTGGTCCCAACTCTCGGTTTCTGAGATTGTTTCTCATGGTTTTTTCCTTCAGCCTTACATCACTGCCCGCTTTATCTCATTTCTTTGTCATGCTTTTTCATCGTAACCCCCCCCCCCTCTAAAAAAAGGCACGATGACCAGTACGATAAACTTCATGCAGTCCAGAAAAGATCACGGAACAAAGTCTGATAATCCAGAAAGGCCTTGAAAAACGTAAAGAAATAATGAAAAAAAACGAACTCAGTACCTGCAATGGAATTGTCCTGCGAGATATCCGCGTAGTCAGCACTTGTCAACTGAAATTCGCATTGTATTTGCATTCTGATAGCATCTAAACACTTGCGCCATCATCTTTGAAGTACGCGCAATCTATTGTTTTTCATGCTGGGCTTGCTGTAGAGGAGCAGTTCCCAGTACTGAAGCGTATGATAGATGGTCCACTGGAGGTCTTACTGGAGGTCTCGCTGGCAGTTCGAGGGGTACAAATGATGCGACAGTTGATCAGGCGACTGAATTTGACTGGTGCATCTTTCGATCCGGTGGGCATCACTCGACCCCTCGCATAGCAGGAGTCCACGGATTGCAAAGTCTGACACCGTTTTGAGCCTACCACCCACGGAAGCTTTCACAGAATCAACTCTTTTTCATGCCACCCTTGAGCAACTTCGTAGCTTCTGCGTCTGTTCACATTTCTTTGTCTTCCTTCCTAATGAAATAAAATTAACTTTCGGCTCACTGATTTGTAAAGGTAAAATATTCGACGTTGGCCTATGCCATCAGAATAAGCAACGAATTCACTTTGAACCCGGATCACAGAGGCTCTCTGATGGTATTCACCCCTTACAATGACTGTGTAAGTCGTGCTTCCACCAATATTAATCGTTGGTCGCACGATTCCTGAAGAAGGGAAGGGAGGAGGTGTGAGGGCGGGGGCGGAAGGGGGAGGAGCGGTCATGTTATAGTTAGTTGGAGGGGGTTGTATTTGGGTTTGGCGAAGGTCAAAAGATTGAAAAAGGCGGGTGGAGTGGGCGAAGTTGGACTGTGTCGAGTGGTCACAGAATTAAATACAAAGGACAGCCATAATATGAGGGTGGTGGCCGTGGTGGTGCGGGGGGGGGAAGGGTGGAGTGTATATTGGGAACTGATAAGGATGACGAAGGTGGTGGTGTGAAGTCCCTTGAGACACCCCTAAGAGGTAGGTCGTAAGCCTTCTAGGATTTGACAAAGGATAGCTGACCCCACCTCCAACCCTACCGTCTCTACTGATCTCGATGGGGCGTCTTAGATATGTAACCTTTCACAAAGCTAACCCGGTCCTCCAATGACATATGTTCTCTACTTTCGTTCTTATGATGTACGGAACGTTATTATGTTGTTCATCTTCAACTTTAGGTACCTAATACCCAAAGGTAAAGGTAAAGGTAGAGGTTTTAGGGTTTTTTACCTAAAGTACCTAAAGGCACTGGTACCTTTAGGTACTTTTGGTAAAAAAAATTCCTAATTTCTATGTTTTTACTCAAACCTAACTATTTTATTTAGGTACCCGAAGATGTGTATCAGCTTTGACCGATGCCAGACTGCAAACCAACGATTCGCAAAGTCTGGCACCGGCTCTCCACTACTATTCGATCATGGCGATGCCGTTGAATTTGCGTGAGAATCTTCGATCCTAGTTCCGATATTAGACGTATTCTGTACCCACCTCAACAGAAGGAGTCGTGTGTCCGGAATCCCAAGCGAAGCCGGCAGCACAGAACGACAGCAGAATCCCTGGATGCATGGAAAACTCGAAGTGTCTGCAAGTTTTACGTTGCACTTGTTGCAAATTTGACAGCAGCGACGACTGGAGAACACTTGAAAGAG